ATGAATAAAAATCCATGTAAAACAAGCATTCAAATAGTTTCCCTGTGTTTCACTGCTCATATCACACTTGGCCATGAGCCACACCTTATGACACAGGGAGCCCAGCAGCCAGCAGAGCCTAACCTCACGCCCACGTGGTTGCCCATCTCCCATCTAGAACCGCCCTCGCCTCCTCTCTGCCAACCACCAGGCAACAGAACTGTATTCAGTGCTACAAATAAATGAGCTACAGAGCCATGAAAAAACATGGAAGAAACTTAAGTGCATATTACTCAGTGAAAGAAGCCAGTGGGAAAAGACTACACACTGTATGGCTCCAACTATACGGAATTCTAGAAAAAGCAAAACTATGGAAACAGTAAAAAAAAAAGAAAGAAAAACCACAAGAGTGGTTATCAGAGGTTTGGGGGTAGGAGGAATGAATAGGCAGAACACAGAGGATAATTTTTAGGACAATGATGCTATTCTGTAGGATACTGCAATGTTGGATACATATCATTGTATATGTGTCAAAACCCATGAAATACACCAAATGTGAGCTCCCATGTAAACGGTGGACTTTGGATTATGACATGTCAATGTAGGTCCATAGATTATAAAAAATGTACCACCTGGTGAGGGACGTTAATAGTGGGGATGTTGACTCTGTACGTGTGGGAGGAGACAAGAAGTATATGGGAAATTTCTCTACTTTCTGCTTAATTTTGCTGTGAACCTAAAATCGCTCTATAAAATAAAGTTTATTAACTTAAAAAAGGGATGCGTGGCAAAGGATTACTATTGTGGATATATAAATAATCCCTGCAAATCGGTAAGACAAAATTAAAGTAACACAATAGGAAATTAAGCAAAAGAATGAACCCATAAGAAGTCTGAATAGCCCATAAATAAATGAAAGTATGCTCAACCTCAAGAGCAACAGGTAAACTGTACGGCAGAACGACGGTAAGATGCCTTTGCCGACCTGTTGTATGAGATCCCTGAGATTACCATACCAAATTACCACAAACTTGTTCACTTAGAAGACAGATATTTATTTGTTCCCAGTTCTGGGGCGAAAAGTCCGAAATCTAGGCATTGCAGGGATGCGCCCCCCGCAGAGACTCTGGGCGGGGGGGGCACCCTCCCTGCCTCTTCCAGCTTCAGGTGCTCCAGGCATCGTCAGCTTGCGGCCGCGTCCCTCACTTCGGTCTCTTCCTCTTCTTCACGTGATCTTCTCCTCTTCCTCAAATCTCTCTCTTTCTCTTACAAGGACCCGTGTCATTGAGTTTAGAGGCCACCCCTACATGCCTGGATATCCTCATCTCAAAATTCTTAATTATATCTGTAATTTTGCCTTATTTTCCCAATAAAGTCACAGTCACAAGATTCCAGGATCAGAACATGGACATATCATTCCACCCACTACAGTCACTGGCAAAAAGTAAAAAGTCTGACAATACCAAGTGTCGGCGAAGATGCACAGCCAGGGAGACCTTTCTATAGGTGCGCTTTTACTTAGTCCGTCTCTTGGGAGGCAACATCCAGGCCACATACAACAATACCTGGGACAGTTAAAGGCACACAGAGCATATCACCTACTTGTTTCACCGCCCCCCCCCCCCACCCAAGCGCATCACGAAGGCACCAGCATGCAGGGTGACTTGCAGGGTGACTTGCAGCGCTCCCCGAGGCCCCCCTGCTGTGTGGCGGGGCAGCCACGGGGGTGGTTATTGGACACAGCAAGTGTGGTCCAGGGCCGGAAAATGTCAGACACAGGTTGTTGAGGAACCAAATGAGTTGCAGAAAGATACATAGACTCTTTCTATGGTCTAAAGCTTAAAAGTATGCAAAACCATCCTGGATAATGTTCAATGACTGCGAGGCCTGGAACCTCCTCAGAGCTGCCGGGCAGGATCTGAAACCGCCCCCCCCCAACCCCTTACGCAGAGCACCGCGAGACAAAGAAAGGGGCAGGTCCCTCCAGATGGGTGGGTGGCCGTTTTAATGAGCCAGGAATGTATTTACCAGGCTGGTCCGGGGCCCTGCAAGGCAGGGAGATCTCCACCTGCGCCCCCAACTCGTAAATGTTCATACAGAGTGAGGCCGCGCCGGGTCCTGTCCGCGCACCCCCCAGGCCTCCCCGGCGCCGCGCGGCTGCCGCCTCCCCGCGCTCCTCTCCTTTGTCTGCTGGGCTCGCCTATGGCTTTGGCTGTAGCTTGCATGTCCCAGGCTACAATTCTTTGCTGTTCCAAATAAATCCAGTTTTACAGGTAAAATAACTTTTCTTAAAAGGTTTTATTTATTTTTAGAGAGACAGGGAAGGGAGGGAGAAAGGAAGAGAGAGAAACATCCATCTGTTGCCTCTCACCTGCCTCCAGCTGGGGACCTCGCCCACAACCCAGGCCTGTGACCTGAGTGGGAATGGAACCAGCGACCTTTTAGTTCACAGGCTGGCACCCTAACCCACTGAATTGTTGGGAAACGCCCGGCCTGGTTTCAGAAGCCGTAACCCTGCCAACAGGCTGGAGGGCCCCAAGACTGGAAATAATCAGGAGGCCTTGGAGAAACAGGCTCCTGAGGAGATTTGGCTTAGCCCCTGCCTCTCAGCTTTGCCACGGATGGTCAATGGCCAGTCACAGGTAAGTGACTTCGTGCTGAGGTACACAACCTAAGACAGGTATTGGCCGATATTGGCAGCAGACCAGAAATTGGGGGACACAGAGAAGGGGCAAAAAGGTCCCCACACCTCTCGCTTGGCTTGGACATGGCCGGTGTCCTCATTGCAGCCGAGAAGCAATCTCCTCATCTCTTGGTGGCTCCCTCCCCACGCCTGGCTCAGGCTTGAAACAGTGCAGGGAAAACAGCCCTAAATCAGGTCTGGCAGGTCCCGGGGTGATCAGGCCTAGAGGTAAATTCTTCGGAGCGCGCTCTGTTCCTCCCTCAGATCTCTGGTCAGCTCATGCTGCGAAGAACCTTTGTTTACCCCCCGTACCTGGTACTGTTAAGACATTTACTTTATTTACATTTTTTACCCTATATCTTTAAGGCTCCTTTAAGTCTACTTCCCCCTTATCTATAGTCTCTACTGCTGATTCTAATCTCCTCTGAGACCCTTGTACATCAGTGAATTCCTGTCACTTGTTTTCTTAAAGGTATCTATTCCCTGTGAACCTTAATATGCTAATGTAATGAGATGATGTTTGCATTCCTGTTACATACCCCACTGATACGATTTTCAATAAAGGCCTTGGAACAAAGGGCGACGGGGCCTTCCCCATAGATGGGCTTCCCCACTAGGGGGATGCGCCACGGCCGTCTCCAGTGAGAGGGAAGTGCCCCCATCGGCTCTCCTGGCAAACAGAGAAGTGTTTGCAGCATTTTGTGTTTATTCCCCATCATCCACGACAACCCCGGGACGGGCTCTGCGGGTTTCAGAGCGCCGCTCCCACCTCAGCGGGCCCCCACCGGTTCCCCTCAGGTTTCAGGGGGTGCTGCGCTCTCTGCGGGGCCCCCGCCCCGCGGCGACACGCCCCTACAGCCGCCACGCAGGGCGACACTGAAGCACACCTTCCATGGCTAAAATAACTGTTACTTTTAAGGTCAACTTGCCGCAAAGCCTCGGGAGGGAGCACAGCCCCACCGCCCTTTGACCCTGGGCTTCGGGCCTCGGTTGCGTTGAGACAATACATTTCCGTTGTCTTCAGCCACCTGCTTGTGGTCTTTTGTTACAACAGCCCTGGAAACTAGTATTGGTACAATGGTTATGCAAGAGCATCTGACAGTCGTTTTATTTTACATTTTACCTATTATCAGAGATTGAGCATATTTTCAGCTACTCGCGGGCTCTTTGGGCTTCATGTTCGTTCAGTTCTGTTTGCTTTAACAGCTTTACTGAGATACAATTCACCCATCCGAAGTGCACAGCTCAGGGAGGGCGGTGCCAGACCTCCTGAGCCACGACACCCATGCCCCGTCCTGCCTTCCCTTCCTGGTGCGGCACCGACCTGTGGGGGTGCGCGGGGGACCGGAGCTCCTGCTGGGCTGGCTCCAGTCACAGCCAAGGATGACCTCAAGCCAGCGCACACAGGTTCTCATGTGCTCTTCCTGGAACGGCTGCTTGCTTCCCAGACTCTAGTAAATGCCTGAGAAATACTTGCAGAAATATTAGGAGCCAGCATTTTGGGCTCTGACTTTGTACCAGGAGCTGTGCTTTTCTCAAGAACCACGACACGCTGGCTGGTGGGGCTCAGTGGACTGAGCGCTGGCCTGCGAACCAAAGGGTCGCTGGTTGATTCCCAGTCAGGGCACAGGCCTGGGGTGCAGGCCAGGTCCCCAGTGGGGGACACACGAGAGGCAGCCACATGTTCATGTTTCTCTCCCTCTTTCTCCCTCCTTTCCCCTCTCTCTAAAAATAAATAAATAAAATCTTAAAAAAAAACCCCAAAACATGAAAAGTAAGCACTACTGGTACCTCAGAGAGACTCAGGGGTTCGGTGACGTGCCCAGGGACACACAGTAAAGAGGAGACTAAAGGAAGAAAGGAGCCATGTACCATGGGGCAGCCACAGGTGTCCGGGCTGAGCGCCTTCCTCTGCTTTGAGGGTGCTAGTCGGGCGCCTTGTGCGAGTGCAGATGAAGCAGCCTGGGGTGTGGGGTGGGGGTGCGGGAACCTGGGTGGGCCGCAGAGTTTCGTCGGCGGAAGGCTTCCTGGAGGAAGCAGCGTTTGCTACTAGGGTCCTGCTGATATTTTCATCTTGTGATTCCCCCACACTCCGGATTTTTCTGTTTATTATGTAATTTCCTGATAGCCTGAAGTTGCCAGACCTGTTCCAGAGCCAGCTGAGCCCGAGGACAGGGAGGGGTGCCACCCATTCAGGAGAAGTGTAGGTGTGTGAACGGAGTGCACCCTCACTTATAGGCATGGGGAGAGGCGGCCAGCGATCCCTGGGACACTTGGCAGGTGGCAGAGGCCGGCAGGAAACCTGGGCACCAGCAGAGTTGGCTCATTTGGAGGCAGAATGTCAGGCAAAGAGGGCAAAGGCGCAGAGAAGCATTCAAGGTTGCAGCCCACACTGGTGTACACAGGGCCGTGGGGTGAGGGGCGAGGGTAGAGGGGCCAGAGATAGCAAACACGGGGCGGGGGGCGACAGCAGAGGGGAATGGGGTGTGGGCCACCAGCTGGGGCCACCAGCTGGGGCCTGGCTCCACACAGCAGGCAAGTGCTGCCCTGCCCTGGTGTGCCCTTGGGTCAGTTCCACCGTCTGTCTTCCCGTCCCCCGTGGAAGCCCCGGGGAGCAGCCTCAGAGGGCCCAGTGCTGGCCTGGCCCCAGAGGCGGGGCGGGGGGAGGAGGCAGGCATGGACTGGCGTCGTCGCCAGGGCGGAGCCGGGCGGTGGGGGGCAGGATGGTCAGAGGAGAGGCCAGAACTGCCTCTGGTTTCGGGTCACCAAAGCGACACCCCCTGTTGGTCTCTGGTTCTGGAAGTATTGCTTTCGCCTTGTAGACAATCTGGAAGCTGCAGAAAGATGCTGAGAAGTCCATATAAAGCGCAGGCGCCGACGGGCATGGGGTGGGGGGGCGGGGCCCCCCTGCTGGGGCAATAGGCTGTGGGGAGGGACGGAACGTATCCCAGTTGCTCAGAGGGCAATTCAGGTCACCTCTCAAACCCTGGGCTTCCTCATCCTCACATGGGTGACAACAGGATCTCGGGGCCCAGGCGAAATTATGCTCGCAATCACGGCTCCAGGTGCACCCGCTGCTCCCACTGCCGGCAGGATGAGACCTGCCTCCCTGGTGAAGCCTCGGGCAGGCTGTTGACTTACTCAGCTGCATCTTGTTTCTTCAGATCCGGCCTCCCAAGGCCTTTGCTCATGCTGGGCCCGCTGCCCAGAACGCCTGCTTCCCCCCAGCAGCCAGGTCCCGCGGACAGCGTTTCTGGCTGGCCTCCTGCAGGCCTGCAGCACATCCAATCATCTCTGTAAGGCGAAGGCTGTTATCCTTGGTGTCCTGGCTGGTCCCTGTGTAGACTGTGAGCTCCTCCCAAGGGCTGGCCGAGTGTGGCGCAATAACCTGTGTGCCAGTTGGGCGGCAGCCGAGGGTCCCCCGTTGGCCCGGCCTCAGCAAGCCCTGGGTCCAGGCTCCCCTGCGCCAGGTGGGCAGGCCAGCAGCGCCTTGCATGAGGAGCCAGCTGTCCAGCTCAGCTCCCCTGGGGACGCTGCTGACCTCGGCCCCCACCCACTGGTCTATGTGCGTCCTCATTTTATCGGGCACCGCTGGGCCAGGGCCTGGGGATTTGCCCATGGAGAAGCTAAGCCTGAAGCTGTGCCCAGGCATTCCAAGTGTGCACAGCGAGGACAGAGAGGATGGCAGTTGAGGAAGGCAGGGAACCCCTGGCCGGTCTGCCTCACCTGGGAAATGATGGTTGAGCTGGGGCTGGGGTCACGGGATGGACAGCAGGGCATCGGGGCGCCATCACTCTTCCCAGGAGCCTCTGCTCTGGGCCTTGACTCAAGGCTGAGGCTCTGAGTCCTAGAGGGGCCCTAGGGAGCCGCGGATGTAGCGAGAATGGGGCTGATGGGGCCAGGATCCGCCTGAACCCCAGGCGGGGAAAGCTGCCAGGCGGCGGGGGAGGGGCGGGCCCAGCAGAGCTCCTGGGCAGCCCTGGGCCTGTGGGGGGGCGGTGCGCTGGCCAGAGTGGGGCCCCGTACAGCCCTGCTCTGGCCCAGCTCCTCCAGGAAGCACTCCAGAGCACATGGGACCCAGGACAGACGTCACATTGTCCCTCTGCTCTCTGGCGCAGCAATCTAGGTAGGACCCCCTCCCCCTACTGTCGGGCCTGGCTGTGAAGGCGCATGACCCAGGCCCTCTTCTACCCCTAGACAAGGTCGGACAGTCAGTGGACAAGCCTTTACCCGCCGTGGGCTGTGTCCTCCCCTGGGTGCCGGGAGCCCTTGTCCCTACAGGAGGGTCAGGCAGCACCCGGGAAGGGAGCATGTGCTTGCTGCGGACATTTCTGGGGCGCCGCTCAGCCCCCGCGCCGTCTCTGGCGTTCCTCAGCCAGGAGCAGCCGCTGAGCCGGCCCCAGCTCCTCTGCTTGTCTTAGTGACCCTCTTAGGGTCACTAAGGTATAGTGACCATAGCGTAGGATGTCCACCGGCATTGGGTGGCCAGGCCTGAATGTCCCCACTTTCCAGATGAGGAGACTGAGGCTCAGAGAGGAGGTCTGACCTGCCCTAGCGCCTGGGAGTGGAGGGGGCGCCCAGTTCAGGCGCTGAGCCGGTCTTACTCCATGGCCACAGCTTGAGGCAGAGGCCCTGGGCTGGGCCCGTGAGGTGCTGCTGAAGGCTGAGGGCCGCCCTTGTCTGCACACACAGGCAGATGCAGGGACAGATGCGTGCACACAGAGACAGGTACGCACAGACACACAACGACACAGAAACATACGCAGAGGCAGAGGCAGACACACACAGATACGGAGACACGCAGGGACAGGGAGACACACATTCAGACAGACACCCAAAGAGACATAGATGCACAGAGAGGCACAGACACAGCAGACACACAAAAGGCAAAGAGAGAGAGGCACACGCAGCCGCGAAGTCTCCACTTTGCCCGCCTACCTGCTTGAGTCTGCCTCCCAGGGGTGCCCCGCCTGCCAGACGCTTCCTGCCACTCCGCCCCGTCCTTTGCTCTGAGACCTTTGTCCAGGACCACCTCCCCGGAGCAGAGACTGAACCCTCCTCACATTTCTGGTGCCTGTGGCACACCCTGGTGTGAGTTTCCCCATCTGCCACTGCAGAAGCTCTGTGGCCCCTGAGACACAAAGCCCGCTGTGTGCCGGGCCAGGCCCTGCGGCCTGGTCGCTGTTCAAAGGATCCTGCTCCTCGACTGCACTTGAGGCCCGGGGGCGCGGGGCAGGCGTGAACGTGGGTGGGGTGCCCTGCCAGGGCACAGGGGCAGCCCCCCCCTTCTGGGGCAACATATGAAACCCAGTGCAGGTGCCTATGAGCCCGCGTGGGTGCAGGCAGAGGCAGGATGGGTGCTCAAGAAGGTGGAGGGTCCCAGCCCACACTGCTCCCACCCTGGCAGGACAGTCCCGTTCGAGGACATGCTGCAGCGGCCGCGGGAGGCCTTCAGGACGGGGCGGAGTTCCGGGCCGCCCAGCTCAAGGGCCTGGGCCACTTCCTGGAGGGGAACAAGCAGCTTCTGCAGGAGGTGCTGGCGCAAGACTTGCGCAAGGTGAGGTGGCGAGAGGCAGAGCTGGCAGTGCCCCCATGCATTCCTGCGCATTTACCAGCCCTTCCTTGGCACACAGTGGGCTCAGGCGCTCTCCACACTCACTCTACCGATCTTGGAGGGAGGTTCGAGTGTTGTCCCCACGTCACTGAGGAGAGCACAACATGTGGGGGTTATATGAGTTGCCCAAGTTCCCCCAGCTAGGAAGTGTCCGAGCCGGACCCGGAGCCCAGGCCTCCTGGCCCAGGGTCTGTGCTCCTTGCTGCTTGCTGTGCAGTGCGCAGGGGACGAGCTGCGCTGTCCCTGGAGACTGTGTCCGGACCCCTGATAGGGACCTTCGGGGATCCCGCACACTAGGTCTTCTCCCCGTCCTGCCCCCCGCCTGACCCTCGGATTTCACTCCTGCCCGAGCCAACCTTTGAGTCAGACGTCTCTGAGATCACCCTGTGCCAGAATGAGGTCGACCTGGCCCTCAGCAGCCTGAACACCAGGACGAAGGACGGGCCCGTAGCCTACAACCTGGTGCGCCACCTGCTGGGAGGGTGCAGCACCCACAGGCGGCTCCACCCCTGACCCCTTCCCCGGTCCTGACCCTGGGCAAGTTGCTGACTTTCTTGTGACCTCTGTGGTGGGGACTCCACTGCACAGGCACCTCAAGGGCCCTGGAAGTAGGGAGCTTTCTGGTGGCCCTTGGCTGGGCCTCACCGCCCACACTGTGTCCCAGTTAACGCAGCTGGACTCCGCCTTCATCTGCAAGGAGCCCTTCAGCCTGGTGCTCATCATCGCGCCCTGGGACTACCCGGTGAACCTGACCCTGGTGCCCCTGGTGGGCGCCCTCGCCGCGGGTGAGGAGAGAGTCTGAGCCCTCACCCTTCCTGGCCCCAAAGCCCTTCCCAAAGTGGCGGGGTTGGGGGTCTCAAAATTCCACCATGCCACGTCCTGACCCTCCCACACCCTCCCCACATCTTTGCATTCCGCTGCTGGCCCCTGGGAGGGTGTGGGGACACCAGCTCCCCCGATAGTTCCCCATTTGACACTGCAGGAAACTGCGTGGTGCTGAAGCTATCAGAAATAAGCCAGAACACAGAGAAGATCCTGGCTGAGGTCCTGCCCCAGTATCTGGACCAGGTGAGGGTGGCCCTGCCCCATCAACCCCAGCGTCCCACATCCCTGTCCTTGCCGCCTGGGAGGTTCGGCTGTCCCCCACCCAGAGCCCACAGTGTCCCCTGAGCTGCCTGTCCCTCTATGCAGAGCTGCTTTGCCGTGGTGACAGGTGGACCTGAGGAGACAGGGCAACTGCTGGAACACAAGTTTGACTACATCCTCTCCACAGGTGAGGGTGGCCCCGACCAGCATCCTGGCGGCACTGGGGACATCCAAGGGTGGTGTTGAAAAGGCTGTTGGTGCAGGTGGCTGTGGCGGGGAGCGGGGGTGTCACAGACGGTCATCAGCCAGGCCTCTGGGCCTTGGAGGGTGGGATCCTGGGGGCAGCTCAGCTGGGGCCGATCTGAGGTGGCGCCAGAACCATCTGGCCAAGGCCAGTTGAGAATAGAGGTCAACTCCATGTCCCCAAGGAGCCCTCAAGTCGGCAAGATTGCCATGGCCACAGCCACCAAGCACCTGACGCCCGTCACGCTGGAGCTGGGGGGCAAGAACCCCTGCTACGTGCACGACGACTGCGACCCCCAGACCGTGGCCAACCGTGTGGCCTTCTTCCGCTACTTCAACACCGGCCAGACCTGCGTGGCCCCCGACTACGTCCTGTGCAGCCCCGAGATGCAGGAGCGGCTGGTGCCCGCCCTGCAGAGCGCCATCACCCGGTTCTACGGCGACGACCCCAGGAGCTCCCCCGACCTGGGCCGCATCATCAACGACAAGCATTTCCAGCGGCTCCAGGGCCTGCTGGGCAGCGGCCGTGTGGCCATCGGGGGCCAGAGCGACAGCAGCGACCGCTACATCGGTGAGTCCCGCGCTCCTGGCCTCGGGACCCCCTGGCTAAGGCCCCTCCACGCTGGAGGCCACAGATGGGCTGAAGCTGGGCCCTGGGATTGCCACGGCCCCACCGCCGGAGCCCGGCCGGGTCCCCGGCTCTGGTGCCACGATTCCGCGGCACTAACGCCACATGTCGCCGTGGTCTGAGCCTGTGGGCCCGTGACTCCCAGGCCTGGCTTCTCTGAGCCGGGCCCCCCGCGTCCCAGGGCGCCCGAGCGCTCAGATCCCCGACGTCCCCGCACCGTCCGCTGCTCCACGGCCGCGACCCAGGTCCTGTGAGCTCGTGGTTCCCGTTCCCAGCACCTGCTGGGCTGTCGCTGCAGAGCGAACGCCGGCCTCTGGGCCACACGGCCCAGCGGTGGCACTGGTGCTCCAGCAGGCTGGGACCTGGCACCTTGGGGTTCAGGGTCTGAGAGCCAGTCACCCCGCAACTGTAAGACCAAGGCCGGGGCTCCTCTGGGCCCTGGTCGCGGTCACCCCTCGGGGGCGGTGGGGAGGCTCTCTTCCCTAGATGCTCCCGACCTGGAGCCCCGGGTCCCCAGGTGCCGGGCCCTGCCCGAGGCCCCGCGCCTGGGGCTGAGCCGCGCCCTGTGCCCGCCCGACAGCCCCCACGGTGCTGGTGGACGTGCAGGAGACGGAGCCGGTGATGCAGGAGGAGATCTTCGGGCCCATCCTGCCCATCGTGACTGTGAGGAGCCTGGACGAGGCCATCGACTTCATCAACCGCCGGGAGAAGCCCCTGGCCCTGTACGCCTTCTCCAACAGCCAGCAGGTGGGGGCTCGGCCTCCAGGCAGCAGCGGAACTGAAAGAGGAGAGACTGTCGATCTCCCTCCCTTGTCCAGCCCTAACGCAGGGCGCCTGGACAAGGGCGCCCAATGGGAGTGGGCTCGGCACCAAAACCTGGCCAGATGTGTGGCAGGTCAGCCTCTGCCCAGACAAAGAGCCCCTTGTCTGCCGAGAGCTTCCCCTTTGCCAGAGCCACCCAGAGGCGGTGTATGGGCAAGCAGGGCCGGGAGGAACGGGGCGGAGCAATGCTGGGGCCTGACAGGCAGGCCGGGGTGGTGCTTGCTCCCTTTTCCGCCGGACTTCTAGTCACGACCCTCCGTGTGGAAAGTGCTTGAGAAGCGATGCCTGCTCAGGGGAAGACGGAGATGGGGAGGCTCCCCCGCTCCCCCGGGGATGGGAGGGGGCCGGAGCCCTCTTTCTGATGGCCAGTCCACCTGCCCCTTCCCGCCTGCCCCCAGGTGGTGAACCAGGTGCTGGACCGGACCAGCAGCAGCAACTCTGGGGGCAACGAGGGCTTCCTCTACCTGACTCTGGTATCCATGCCTATGGGAGGAGTCGGTGAGTCCTGCTCTCCTCCACCATCCAGCCCCCACTCCTGAGAAGCCTGCATTGGTACCCCGGGCCCAGGAAGGCCCAGTTTTGCCTTCACTCACTGTTCAACCTTGATCCAGGCCCAGGGCCTCTCAAGGCCTCAGTTTCCCTATCAGCATAAAGGACTCAGAATGGCCTGTCTTTCCCTGCCAGGGACGGGCGGTGGGCTGCGGCTGCGGCGGAGGGGCTGCCCGGCCGCAGGCCCTCTCTCCCGTGCACACGCAGGCAACAGCGGGATGGGAAGATACCACGGCAAGTACTCCTTCAACACCTTCTCCAACCACCGCGCCTGCCTGCTGTCCCGCCCAGCCCTGGAGAAGCCCAACGAGGTCTGCTACCCGCCCTACACTGCCCAGGAGAAGCAGCTAGTGACATCGGCCTTGAGACACCAGAGCTGCAGCCTCCTGTGAGCGCCCTGACCACTTCCAGCACCCTGACCCCTCACCTCTCTGTCGGACTGCTGCCCACGAGCTCAGTGGTCCCTGGAAGACTTGCGTCCCGTCTCTGAGTGCAAAGAGCCCGCTTGGAGATGTTTCTGAACTGTGCCCCTGCCGGGCAGATTTCTGGGCCGCTGGGCTACCTTTCTCAGGGCCAGAGTCCCCTCTGTGCCCTCCTGACAGATTCATCTGGTGACAGAGAATTCACCCCCTACAAGGCCGGGCAGCTCCTGAGGTTAGAAAGGACCCCTTCATATCAGATCTATAATTACGTTCCCCAAATACAGAGCTCTCATAGCTTCCCTCATGCCTGCTTTGGGGAGCGGGGTTTGCCTGACTTGAAGTGATTTGATCTTGAGCCCAGCTGTGGCCAATTGCCTGAAGGGTGTAATTGATGAGAACGCTGTCCGATGCTGTGTGTGGAATCGGCAGGAAGGAGTGCAACGGCTGATTGGTGGGGTCTGCTACAGGCACAGGAAGGGGCCGCGCACACGGGGGTCCCGGCTGTCATCCCTGCTCTGGACTCCCAGAAGATCAGGGCAGGCAGAGTTGTAATCTAGCCACTTCCTCTGACATATGGGGAAACTGAGGACTGAGGCAAGACAGGGCTGAACTGAGTTTATATAGGAAGGCAGGACAGAGCGGGGGATGGTGGGAAATGTGAGGTAGGGATCAGTAAACAGAAGCTATCTGGTCCCTTGTGACAGCCTCTCGCTCTCTCCCCAGTCCCCAACCTGGGAGCCCACTTCCAATCCCCCTAGTGTTGCTTTGATGGGCCCCTCATCCCTCAGCGCCTGGGCTAGTGGCCTGAGGTGGAGGGAATAAGGGGAAGTATGACCCTCCTGTTGCCCTGGGGAATTTTGGGGGACAGTTGTCTCCAAAAGGACCCAGGGTGGACTCAAAGGAGGTGCTCATTAAGCTTGTTGATGACTGAAAAGGAGAGTGAATAAGGAGGAAGGGAGGGAGGGAGGGATGGAAGGATGGATGGAAAGATGAGACAATGGGTGGAGAGAAGAGCAGGTGAGTGGACGAATGATTTGATGGGTAGTTGGTTGGGTGGATGGATGAACTGATGCGTGGGCAGGTGGCCCAGGTAGAAGCTAAGCGACCACTGGGCCTGGGTCTAGCGATCCCCCTCTGGCCTTGGAAGCTCTTCCTCAGAAAGGCCACTGGACTGAAAAGAGAGACGGCCAGAGGGACCGAGGAGAGTCAGTCAGAGCACGTCCAGCCTTGGTCCGGGCAGGGGGTCCGGTGAGCAAAAACCAGAAGATGCTGCTCCCGGGAGACACTGCCCTCGCTGCACCTGATCTTGTCCCCTTTGCTCTCTCGGCCATCGGCGGCGGTGGTTCAGATAGGGGACAAAGCTCCAAGGGCCATGCGGCTGCCGGGGGGCCACTGGAGGCGGGGTGGGGAAGGCAGTCCCGGAATGCCAGAGCAGAGTCTGCAAAGGAGGCTGTTGAAGAGAGGCCACAAACGTGACAAGTGTCACCCGTTCACTCTCTCCCTGCCAGTTCCAGCCCCTTTGTTTCTCGGTCCTGGCTGAGCAGCTCAGTTCTGGGGAACAGCATGGTCCAGACACAGTGCAAACGCTGTCCTGCTTTTCACGGCCGGCACACGGGGTCCTGAGAGCCTTGAACCCCTCCAGGCCTTTGCTGAGCTGCTCTCTCCTCCCACTCCTCCCTCACTCCCACCTCCTCCCACCCCAGCGCCCCACCCCGCTGTCCCCCCACCCCAGGAATCCAGCTCAAATTCCAGACTGGTCTCACAGAGCTCCCTGCGTTTCCCTGCGTTCCGCCTGAGCAGCTTGGGTGCGCAGCACTGCACGGCCACCTCGGGAGCCAGTGGCTTCGGGCAAGTCCCTTCACGCCTCTGAGCCTCTGTTTTCTGAGCTTGTAGAATGGGGCTCCCACTGCCTCTCAGCGTTGCTCTGAGGGTTCGATGAGAGCACGTGTGTCTGGGCCCAGGGTCCCCTCTCCAGGGGCGAGCAGAGTCCAGATTTCCGTCAGCCAAGCCAACGCCTGGCACGGAGGCCCTGGCTGCAGAGGGGCCCCGACCACTCACCTCCAGAGCCTCCCAGGGCCCTGGCGCGGCCTTGAGGTTCATGAGAGCAGCCTCTCCTTCACTGGTGGCCACGGGGGTCTCCTGTCCGAGGCATGGGGGCCCCCCAGGGTTTCTTAGGGCTCAGGGATCAGCTTCAGCCGTCGGTGCCGGTTCCACTGCGGTAACCGACCATAATCCAGAGTGGGCCGTTAAGGAAAACGACAGGCTTGGCAGGGCGGCTCTGTTGGTTGGAGCATCAGCCCATAACCGAAGGGTTGCGGGTTCGGTTCTCGGGCAGGGCACATACCTGGGTTGCAGGTTGATCCCGGTCTGGGCACAGGCGTGTGTGGCCTCTGGTCTGGACACATATCATCCCAATCAGGCACCGACCCCCAGTCCCGGCCCACACAGGGGGCTCCGGGCCATGCTTCTCCCTCCCACCCGAGTTTCTCTCTCTCCCTCTCTCCCTTGCTCTCTCTGTCTCTAAAGCAATGAAAACAAAAAAATGTCCTCAAGTGAGGATAAAAAAAGAAAATACAACTACATTATGGGTGAGCCCCCTCTCACCCCCCACCTCTCCCATCCCTCGCCGCCCCCCTCCTGCCAGGCCAGCTGGCAGGAGAGCGCAGGGTGGCGATGGGGGGGGTGGAGGAACTGCCCCGATGTGGGCGCTGTGGAAGCACCGCAGGAGTGGGGTGAGCAAAGTCCGGGGGCGGGGTTAGAACCCGCTGAGGATGGCAGGCGGTCTGGCGGGGGCTCCAAAGCCACTGGACAGTGGCCCTTAGGATTGGCTCCCAGGTCACGTGGCTCTCCTGGGTCAAGCCTTACAGTTGTGTGGCTTGCCTTAGGTTTTGACTCCTCTCTGAGCCTCAGTTTCCCCAACTGCAGTGAAGACGGACCCGTTGCGATGCTTCTTCCCTCGGTCAGGCCAGTGTCTGCCGTGTGTATGCCTCCCGCTCTTGCCCTCCCTCCTCACGCCACGGAGGCTGCTGGCGGCCAAGACAGGGCCTAGGCCCAGGGAGGATGCTGGCTCTCCCCGAGTCACGCAGCCTGTCAGGGATGGGCGTCAGAGCCAAGGGGAGCTGGGGGCCCCTCCGCTTCTTGGGGCTCAGTGGTGGAATCAGCCAGCCACCTGCAGACTGTCCTCGCTGCTGTGACGCACACACGTACTCGTGACACAGATGTGAACACACAATCCTCAGGCTTGCATGCACTCACGTGCACACACACGTACTCAGTATGGTTTGGTGGGGGCTGCTGTTTCTGGGGGCTCTTACGCCAGCTCCCGGACCCCCTTCCATTCTATAAGCACCCTCTGAAACAGGGAAGTTAAACCTGCCAAGAGAAGGGAAACTTCCCAGGACCCCCTCAGAGTTGGGGGCCCAGCACCTCCTCACAGGAAGCCCCCTGGCCCCGAGCAGCCCCCTAAACAGCCAGGTCTGCTGAGCGGGCCCTTCCTCCCCCGCGCGCACCCCGGCCTGAGGCCCAGCCCCAAGTCAGCAGAATCTCAGCACAGCTGGGCGGCCTCGCTGTCCTGGCTCCTGACTCCCCCCACAGACCCTGAGGCCCCAGCCCGGAGCGCACAGGGCGCAGGGGCTAGGAGAGAGGCAGATGCGGCTCACCCACTGACCTCTGTGCCAGCCGCGGCCACATCCCTCCGCCTCCTGGAACCCAGGTTTGATCATGAAACTGAGCGAGTGACAGCTGCCCACCAGCCTCTGGGGGTGCCCCTCCCCCACCCCCACGAGCCCTCAGGACATCCTGTCCCGTGGTGCCCTGGTTTCACACTTCATCACCCCTGCTGCCCTGTTGGGAGCCACAGTCGGGGTGGTGGACAGAAGGACTGAGGCAGGCCCAGTCCCCACCACGATCTGAGTGTAGTGGGGCAGCTGCAAAGAGGGTCGGCCACGAGGGTCCCGGCCGCGGAGCCTCCAGGTGGTGGGCCTGGTTCCGGCCAGGGCTGGGCAGCCTGGGAGGACTCCGGCTGGGGATGAAGGCCTGGGCTGCCTGGCGGGGCTCCAACCTCAGAGCGCCAGTGCCTGGCACAGAGTAGGCACCAGGTGACCGGACTGGACAGTTCACTGCCCAGCGCCGACTCTCCCCTCAGTGACCTTTGGACCATCCTTGAGGCCACGCCAGGGCGCTGGGAGGCTGTGGGAGGTGAGTGGTCGGGGCCCCTCTGCAGCCAGGACCTCCGTGCCCAGCGCTGGCTTGGCTGACGGAAGAGTCTGGACTCTGCTCACCCCCGGAGAGGGGACCCAGGGCCCAGACATGTGTGCTCTCATCGAACCCTCACGGCAACTGAGTTAAACCGGTCGCTCTGGGGGGCTGCAAGGGCAGAAGCAGGTTGCTGAGGGGGCGAAGGGAACAGGGCGTTCCTTGCCTGGGGGGCCACCAAGGCTCATGCCTTACTGAGTAACTGGCAGCGGCCTAGCCTGGTGGTGGCGCTGGGCTCAGCCGGCGGCCCAGGCGAGGGCAGCAGTCCAGGCCCACCTGCCCTGGACTGGACGCCTGTGAAGCAAACGGCCTCGCTCAGCAGCCCGCCAGGGCTCTCTTAAGGGGCGTTCATGTTGGTCCCAGGCCTCGAAGAGTCCCTCCCTGCAGGTGATTTTCCAAGGCCACGTGCAGCCCCCTGCTGGAACCCCAACCTGGCTCTGGGAGGCGGGGCTGTTGCAGAGAAGGACAGGGGACTGTAGGACCTGAACTCAGTGAACTGTGGCAGCGGCCAGGCCTGTGGTGTGCAGCGGGTCAGGGACACACCATGTTCCTGACCTCTGGCCGGACTCAGCCCCTGCCACCCACCCCTGCTCTCCTCCAGCTCCTCCCAAACACTTCCTGCCGGGGACATAGACACCTGTCGGTGTAGGTGCAGCGCACCCCAGGCCTGGAGGTCCAGGAGGCCTGGACGGACGCCCACCTGCAGGTAAGCACTGTGCTCCCTGCTCCCTGCACTGGCTCAGGAGCACGCAGAAGGGGCGGGAAGGAGCAGGAGTCGCCTGGAACCCTGACACTGCACAGCTAAGGCAGGTGATGCTCCCTGCTACCCAGGTGGCGCCCTGGCTTCCCAGTTTATGACATGGGAGCATAACCCCCACTGTCGGGAGTGTGCCCTGGGGGGTCCATCGCCCAGAATGTCTGGGCCTCTTCTCAACTCAGGAGAAGGCAACTCCTCGCTAAGGGAGCAGGACCATGGCCTCAGAGGAAGCAGGGGAGGCGATGCTTCCTCTCCCAGGGAGGGTGCTCACAGGGGCTGCAGGCACCAGGAGGGACAGACCTTAGCTGGACCACTGGAGGTGCAGTGGACTCAGCTGAGCGACCACCCAGCCACATCTTTTGACAGCAGCTGACCCGCCCGGCTTGGACCTGCCGGGAGCTAGCTCACCGCCACCATCCCAGCTCTGAGCACCGGAGCTGCCTAAGCAGGTCCACCCACAGGGTCCTCCACCCCAGCCTGGATGTGCTCACTGCCGCTGCCTCAAGAGCCCTTGCGCCGTGTGGCAGTGATCGGGGGCACGCACGGCAATGAGATGTCAGGTGTCTACCTGGCCCGGCACTGGCTGCAGGCCCCTGGGGAGCTGCGGAGGCCCAGCTTCTCTGCCACGCCGGTGCTGGCCAACCCGGCAGCTGCAGCTGCCTGCCGCCGCTACGTGGACTGCGATCTCAACCGCTCCTTCACTGGCACCTTCCTCACGTGAGTGTCCTTGCCGCTGTGGAGCCCCTGCCCACCAGGCTGGCTCAGCCTCTTGGACTGGCACTGAGGTCTTCACCTCAAACTCCCCCACCAGCCACTAGCAAGACAGACCCTTCTGCTGTCACTGCCCATTCTTCCTTTTTCAGCTTAAAGAAATCCAAATTGATGGCACCTCCTCCAGGAAGCCCTTCCTGATCTCAGACTGGGTCATGGCCTCCTCTGGGTTCCCCACTCCTTGCCTTAGATCCATCCCCACAAGCTGCATTTACTTGTCTTGGGGTACCCTAGACACTGTTTCACACCCTCCTTTAATGGGTGTTCACTGAACCCCATCTCTGAGCCAGGCTCTGGCCAGCTCGCGTAAGAGAACGGGAAGTAGAACCAAGGTGGTGTTCTCAGCTTACTGGTAGAGACAGAGGAAGAACCCAGCACCCACAACCCAGAAGGCTAAATGCAGGACGGGGGCTTCACAAACCTGACCAAGATAGTCAGGCAGGGCTTCCTGGAGGAGGTGGTATCTCAGCCACACCCCAAAGGCTGAGTAGAAGTTAACCAGGTGAAGAGAGGAGAAAAGGAGTTTCCAGGGAAGGACCAGCAGGTGCACAGGTCTGGAAGTAAGACCAGCACGGTACTTAGAAGCGTGGCTGAAGTGAGAGCTGATGAGGCAAGCAGACAGGGGCCAGGCCAAGGGTTTGAACTTCACGGGGGCAGTGGGGGGCCAACAAGAGCCCTGAGAGAGGCAGGCGGGCTGCAGAGGGCGACGCACGGGCCCTCAGGCTGCTCCGACTCCTGCAGGGTCTCAGGGGCTTCCTCCTGTCAGCACACGAGGCTCCCTCTCCTCCCCTCCCCACAATAAACTGATGATGGACTGAGACTGTGGGTGGCTGATACCCCGTCCCTGCCCCTACAGTGCCAGGCCCCACCCGGATGACCCATACGAGGTGAAGAGGGCCCGAGAGCTGAATCAGTTGCTGGGGCCCAAGGCCTCAAGCCAGGCCTTTGATTTCGTCCTCGACCTGCACAACACCACGGCCAACATGGGCACCTGCCTCATCCTGGAAGCTGCCCACAATGTCTTTGCCATGCACCTGTGCCGCCACCTGCAGGTGGCGCTGTGCCCTGAGTGCAGACGAGGGAGGGTGGGGAAGAGACCGCCATGGGGTTGGTGCCCCCTCTGCGGGGGACTGGTATAGGGGGTGCGTCCTGGGCTCCAGTCCTGGGGCCTGCCACCTGCAGGTACTCCAGGCCCTCTGGACCATCCCCACCCCTCCCCACGTGGTGTTCTGTGCTTCCTTCGGGCTCCGGCCCTTCCCCCAGCTTCCTTTCCCAGCAGGCCTGGGGCCCTGACCCACCCCTCCGCTCGCAGCTGCAGAACCCGGAGCTGCCCTGCCAGGTCTTCCTGTACAAGTTGCCCGGAGAAGAAAGCTGCAGCCTCAACTCGGTGGCCAAGAACGGAATGGGTGGGCCTGGGCCTCAGACTCCGGAGAAGTTGCCAGGGGCCGGGAAGGGCATGGCCTGGCGACGGGCAGGGTCAGGGGCCTGGGGTCTGGAGCCCCCCAGCCCCTGCCTCTAGAGGACCTGCTTGACTCCTTCCCTCCTGGTCCCCAGGCCTGGAGCTTGGCCCCCAGCCTCAGGGAGTGCTACGGGCTGACCTTTTCACCAGGATGAGGGCCCTGGTGTCCTCAGTGCTGGACTTCATCCAGCTCTTCAACCAGGGTGAGACCCCCAAGGACTTGCTGGGAAACTAAGTTTCAAAGAGGAGAGGGCCTGGCCCAGGGGCCAAGGAGCCAAGTTCAGGGGCTGGCTGGGATCCAGCCCTGAGCGGCCTCCACGGCCCACTTCACCCTGGGCCTGGAGGACGCACAGGCTCACGCACCAGCCTCCCTCACAGGCACAGCCTTCCCTGCCTTTGAGATGGAGGTGTACAGAGCCGTGAGCAGCGTGCACTTTCCACGCACCGAGGCCGGGGACCTGGCAGGCATTGTGCATCCTCAGCTGCAGGTGGGTGTGTGTTATGGGGTGTGGACTCGTAGGTCACAGCCTTGGGGGCCTGTCAGAGGCAAGGACCACAGTGCCTCCCATAGTGTCACACCAGCACCTCAGAATCAGGAGTAGGGGGACAGTAGCCTGGGCTACCATGCCCACCCGTACTGTCTCTGCAGGGACCCTGCACAGCAGTTGGGAACTCTGAGCCACCGTGATGCTCACAGTGCTTGTGGTGGGCACCCGGGGGCTCCTCAACAGCCTGGACACACCCCTCCTGGCTGCCGAAGATGGAGGGCGGGGGTTGGGGGTGGAGCAGGCACGACCCTGCTTGGAGGTGCAAATACAGAGCCCTCTATATTCCAAGCAATTCTTCGAGCATCCTTATGCACGTTAGCAGGGAGTCCACGTCTCCCTCCCTAGGCCTTCCCTTCTTGAGTGTTCTAGGAAGTGGGTATTTCTGCTCCTAATCCTGCTTCTGTACGTGGCAGGAGGAAGGTAGCAAAGAATGGGCAGGCAACCAGCTGCTTGTGCTGTGTGCTGCCACATGGGGTCGCTGTGGAACAAGCTCCCCCCACCCCGCCCTTCACCTCGTCACCCCCTCACCTCAGTCCCCACACCGTCAGTGGACTTTGCTTCCTGCAGCGCCCAGGCTACAGGAGTGGCCAAACCGGCACCTTAGCCTCATTAGTAGCTGTTCCCCAAGCCCCTCCTCTGGCCTTCAGAGGAGAGAGGAGCTTCAGAGAGGGCCACCTACTCTGCTGCCTCAGGCCCTCCTCGCTCCATCTCAGAGCTTGGCGGTTGAGTCCAGTGACCAGCCAGAGGCTCTGCTGCCCTGATGGGTCCTTGTGGGCCAGCAGGATCCTCTCCTGCCAGTGGAATCTGGTGGGGGACCCTCCGGGATCAGAAGTGACCGAGTAATTCTGAACTTCTGCAAGGACGGGTGTGTCTTGGGGGCCTCCACCTCCCTCGGTCAGCCCTGCCCCTCCCCCAGCAGAAAGACCTGGCCGACCGCCCTGGCCAACCAGTCTGGCACGTGCTAGGGCCCGGTAGGGCCCGGGCATGAAAGGGAGGGAATACTGGGAAGAATGTGATATTCAAAAAGACCCTAAAGGACCAAAGCAACAACTGCAGGGAAAATCAGAACTTGGGCGTTCTTGTTCTGGTTACAGCTTCGTGTTTTCCATAGAGGTGTTGTCTCGTAGCAGTGTTGTGGGAGGGGGGCTCTGTCTTTTCGGGGTATAGGGCCTAGAGGGCCTTCAGTGCCATGCCCGTCCGCCTTGCAGAGGCTAAGTAACAGCAGTCATTTTGAGGGATTTCTTTCACAGTTTCAACATTTATTTAGTAAACTTTCATATTGTGTTTACTAACTGCCCGGCACTGTTTTAAGCACTATTGGCCATTTAGTTTAAACCTCAGGACAGTGGGGGAGAGAGTATAGCCCCTACTCTACAGACGGGGAAGAGGAGAAACAGAGAGGTTACGCGACCTGCTCCAGGCCACACAGCTACGAGGAGTTCGTGCCCAGTCTTCACTGCCTATGCCTGTCACTACTAGGCTCTGCTTCCACAACGATGAACGTCTTTCTAAGGGGACTGGTGTCTCTGTTCCTAGACACAGGGCCAGGTGGCATCTCAGTAGATGCCCTGTCACATTGATTGAAGAAGGGAAGGAGTGAGTGGGAGAGGCGATGAGTGAGGGGCATCTCTGGGGCCACCCCTGCTGGGGTCGCCCCTCGGGCTGGGGCAGAGGTCGGCCTCAGCCTCCTTGGCCTTTGGCTCCCCTCCCAGGACCGAGACTTCGAGCCGCTGCGGCCCGGTGCACCCATCTTCCAGATGTTCAGTGGCGAGGACAAGCTCTACGAGGGGGAGTCCACCGTGTACCCTGTGTTCATCAACGAGGCCGCCTACTACGAGAAGGGCATCGCCTTCTTCCAGACGGAGAAGCTCATGGTCTCCGTGCCCGCCCTGCCTGCATTGGCCCCCGCCCCCGCCCCAACTCCCTAACGCAGGCCACGCCTGCCCGGCCTCAGCCCTCCCCCCTGACCCTGAGGCCCAATCCCCAGCTCGGGGACCCCCTTGGCCCCCGGCCATGTGCCATGATCCTTGCCAAGCCCCCCACCTCCATGCCTCAGTTTCCCATTCTATAAAGTGGAAGGTGTCCAGGGGTCTTTGGTTTGTGTCCTCTGTCCTGTATGGCCTCTCTCTGTGGCCACAACTTCTGGGGCAAGTTTGGCCCTGTGTGGCCTTGGACATTCCATGTCCTGGGGCCAGGGGTAGCTGTCCCTGTGCCTGTGCTTGTCCGGGGCCTGTTCTGTGAGGGAAGCTTTGGGAAAGACTCCTTGGGCCAGCAGAGCAGCCTCTGGGGCCATGGCCAGAGAGGGGACGCTGCCTCCTACACTCCTGGGGCTAGCGAGTCAGCCTGGGAGAGCAGCAGTGTGTGCCCAGGTACACGTGCATGTGTGTGGGCGTCCGTGCGTGTGCCTGTCCCAGGTGCTGTGTGCGCGCGCGCACACGTGTTTCCAGGAACCTCGGCCCCTTGGCCGTTCTTCTGGGAGGAGCTGTGTGTGGCTGGGCGCACAGGCCAGACGTGCAGTCCCGGGCATGTGATGAGCCCAGCGCCCATGGGAGCCCAGGGAGTCAGCACTAGGGAAGGGGCGCAGCTCGACAGAGCCTCTCCAGCCAGGACAGCGGTCCAGGTGCAGGGACACAGGGGGAGATGCCTGGCTTAGCGTGGGAGGAGGTCCTACCGGAGAGGCAGAGGTTCCTCCACCACCCAGTATGCCCCCTGTCGTGGTCGGGGAAGGAGTGGGCGCAGGGTCTACTCCTGGGGCCCCTCAGTCCTGACCTAGGCAGCCTGTGCCAGGCGCCCACAGCAGGGCGGGCGGGAGTGGGCAGCGTGGGCAGGGCCCCGGGGGCAGACTCACGCCCACCTGAGCCCGGCTGGGTGGAGGCCCCGCTGACAGCGGGCCTGGCGGAGGCCCGGCTCCGTGCTCCCGGGCCGTCACTGCCTGGCCCCTCCGCAGCCCGCCTGCCCATCCGTCTCCCCGCGGCCACAGCTGCCACGCTGCCTCCTGCTATCGAGCAGTGAGATGAAAAGGTGTGAAAGATATGGGGACACCAGGGACAGGCTGGCAGGCAAGATGGATGAGGGGGCAGGGGGCCAGCAGGTGCCTCCGGCAGGAAGGGCTGGCCGGCTGGCCGGGAGGCGCCGTGCAGGGAGGCCTGCCTGTGTGCCTGGGGTGGGTGAGCGTGTGTATCTGGGCACACGGAGCCTGTGCACACACAAACACGAGTGGTGGCAGGTTGGCATGTGTGTGCACATGGGCTGACATGTCAGTGTGGTCGTGTACATGTGTGGGGATGTTTCCCCTCACACTCACACACACACACACACACACACACATTGTGAGCCAACAGAACCCCAGGCTGGGGGGTCCGGGCTGAGAGGGAGCTACCAGGCCTGTCCACCCTCTCTCCCGCCCCCGACTAGCCCCACTGCGCGCAGATCCTGGGGCAGGGCAGCATGGCCATACCTCACTGGGTGGCCCCTGGGTGCCGCTGGGACCCTCCATCACAAGCACAGGGCCCCCCTGGCCAAGCCTTGCCCAGCAGCAGACCCCAGGACAGCACAGCCTTCCCCACACGGCTGGGGGTGGTGAGTGCCAAGGCCGGCCCAGCCTCTCCCTGCCAGACATGTCCCCCGGCCTGGCTCGGCAGGCAGGCCGGTGTCTGGGAGCTCGGGAGGGCGGCGGCAGGCGAGCCTGAGCTGAAGGGAGACATGAGGCCCTGGGAGGAGCAGCCTCTCCCACTGCTGGCCCCTCTGTGCCCCTCTTAGGTGTGGGTCTCTGCCAGCCCCACGTACCCTGTGCCAGGCTGTGAGGAGGTGGGGGGAGTCGGGGTTAAGCTGGCCTTGGGGACCCACAGCACATCCCTGGCCTGCGGCGCTCTGGCCTCCTGTCCTGGCCTAGGAGCTGGCCTGGGCAGCTCCCTGCCAGGGCGGGCCAACCTCAGGTCCAGACAGATGACTCTCCCTGGGCCATGGGGAAGGGGTCGAATGGCCAAACAGTGCTCTCAACTGAGAGTAACCAGCTTCGGGGGACCCCGCGCCCTTTGCCTTCCTGAGCAGTGATCCGCGCGTCCCCTGAGTGCTCAGCACGGGACCAGCAGGGGGCAGCCTGGAGACAATGCCCGGAGAGAACAGACAGACCGGCTGGCAGAGCAGGCACCCACCTCCGCGGCCTCCGACCAGCCCCGCCTCCCTCCTGGGCCGTGTTGGCCTCTCATCCAGGATGGGGTCGCTTACTGCCTGCCAGGCAGGGCCAGCCCATCCCAGGCAGAAGGGAATAAGCACTTAGTTCAGTTGGGGAAACCGAGGCGTGGGGACTGTTGGGGACATGCCAGCATAACACAGCTCCTTGGGCCAAGTCCTCAGGAGGACAGGCTTCCTCCCACCCCATCTGGGAACTCTGTCCGCCCAGATATGCTGCCACCACCCCCAGTGACTCTGCACCCGCAGCCCCAGGCCAGCGCCTGGGTCCTGGGGACAGGGCTCCGCCTCTGCCCTTCAGCTCTCCACGCTGCGGCCACTGCTGTGGTCTCTCCAACCTCCCCGAGGCCCCGCCGGCCCCCAGCCCCTCCAGCCACCAGGCCTGGGCGGCTGCAGACCACCCAGCCTGTCCTCAAGAAGGGCCCCACCCTCACCCGGGCCCATTGATCAGCAATGGCTGGGGGCTCCCAGCTGGGGAAGGGAGGGAGCAGGAGGGGGACCGGGAGGGGCAGAGGAGGCTTGGCCACGTCACGGCCTTCCCACCTGCCCTCCTCCCGCACAGCATCTCCAGAGCAGGGCAAGCCCGCAGTGGCCTCGGACAGTGGGGCGGGAGGGCGGCTTGGAGAAGGGGTTCCCTGCGCAGCCCAGAGCCGGGGCCCCACCGGCAGAGACCAGGTGGGCAGCCAACACTTGGGTGGTCAGGGAGGGACGGACAGTCCTGCCAAGAGACCGGGGACAGAGTGAGCCCCTGAGAGCGGAGCCGTGCTGCCGAATGGACGGGGAGGCTGGCAGCGGCTGACGGCCACCAGCGCCCTGCTCACCCCCCCACCCCCCGCCCCGGCGGCAGGGGCCCCAGCTGAGCAGGCTGCTCCAGGAGCGGGACACCCGGGCTGTCCCCATGTCAGGTACGGTGCTGGCAGCCACGGCAGCCCCTGAGAGGGTGGGGCAGAGCAGGGACCGGGTGTGGGGACCAAGGAAACCCCACTGCCCCCAGGCCCTGGGCAACAGGGTGAGGCGGGGGCACCTCAGGCTGTCAGGGCAGGGCTGGCAGACTCACAGATGATGAGGCGCTGATAAGCGGGGCGCAGAGCCAACCCCGGGAGGTGAAAGCCCCGTCAGACACGGGCGGCCTTGAGCCTGTCCCCTCCCCTCTCCGAGCTGCCCTGCTTAAGGATCAGGGTAAGAGCCAGGTAAGAAGCCCCTAATGTCCCCTCCAGACCTGACTCCACGCTTGTGGGATATTGTCGCCTCCTGACCCTGAGGGGTGCCGGCTCTTAGAGGAACTGGGCAGAGGACAGGTCCCTCTCCAGCATTCCTGGGGGGCACTGAGAGGCGGGACATTTACAGGGATGGGCAGGGGGCTCATAGAAGACTTGGGAGCCAGTGACCAGCCTGTGAAGCCCCCGGGCCCAGCGAAGCCACACTTCTCCCCTTGGGACCCGCCACCATGATGCTGGGGGCTGGGTGTTACGATTGCAGTGGCCCACCTGAGGGCCCGGTCCCCGGTGGTGAGGGACATCCACCTATCCACCCTTCACGCCCCACTGGGCGCCACCTGATGTACCCCATCTCCCTCAGAGAGTCTCTTCCCACCCACCCCCAGAGCCCAGAAATGCCAGGGTTTTAGCAAGGCACCCCTTCTCCAGCGTGGCCCGGGGCCGCCACCCTCGCCAGGTCCTGCTCAGTGCAGGCTCTGGCCAGGCCAGCTCATTAGATGCTCCCTGCACCCACCTACCTGTCCGTCTGTCCCTCTGACACCAATGTTCCCCCTCTGCCTGGGGCTGTCTGAAACTAATCGCCTGTTTTCCAGGATTTTTGTCCTATTTAAAATTTTTTAGTTGTGTAAAACATACGTAACATAAAAATTACCATTGCAGCCACTTGCAAGCGCCCAGCTCAGCGGTATTCGGCATATTCGCCTTGTCCTGCAGCCGCTGCGCCATCCACCTCCAGCATGTTTTCGATCTTGCAAAATTGAAGCTCTCTTCCCATTCAACACCAACCCCGTCCCGCCCCCACGCCAGGCTCCCTTTCTGTCTCTATGAATTCGACTCCTGTAGGGACCTCCTATGAGTGGAATCACAGTATTTGTCCTTCTGTGACTGGCTTATTTCACTCAGCGCCATGTCCTCAAGGTTCGTCCATGTTGTAGCTGGTGTCAGAATGTCCTTTTTAAGACTAAAAGTGAAAGACGGGTCTGGGTAGGCCGCGTGTCGCTCATCCTTTCATTTGTCCACTGATGGCTACATGGGCTGCTTCCAGCTCTGCCTGTTGCTGCTATGAACATGGATGGGTGTACAGATACCTGTTCAGGTCACTGCGCCCAATTCTTTTGGGTCTATGCTTAGAGGTTGGGCCATATGATAATTCTAAGTTTAATTTTTTTAAAGATTTTATTTTATTTTTTTACACAGAGGGGACGGGAGGGGGAAAGATACATCTATGCGTGATTGCCTCTTGAGCGCCCCCTACTGGGGGTCTGGCCCACACTCCAGGCGTGTGCCCTGAACTGGCGACCCCCAGTGATCCACACCAGCTAGGGCTAAGTTTAATTTTTTTTTTTTTTAAAGATTCTATTTATTTATTTTTAGAGAGTGGGGGAGGGAGGGAGAAAGAGAGGGGAAAAACATTGTTGCAAGGAAGAAACATTGATCAGTTCTCTCTTAAGGTGCCCCAGTGGGGAATCAAACCACTGACCCTTCACTTTGTGGGACAATATCCAACCAACTGAGCCATGCTGGTTAGGGAAGGATGTGTTGTTCTTGTTTGTTTGGTTTTTTT